CCCTCCCACCCCTCCCCTCCCACCCCACCTCATCCAGACAGTATGTTTCTAATGTACGGTCAGAGGTCACAGCCAGCATGCAGCAAGTAGCCAGACACAGCGTCTGTGGTGTAGTAGGTAGTTGTTTGGTCGTGGCACAGAGAAGACCCGGGTTCTATTCCGTGTGGGGAGACTGCCTGCGGGGACCTTGCTTTCCTCGCTTCTCTTTGGTCTCTTACTTTTCCCCCTGCACCAAATGACCCTCATTGTGTCAAGGTGCTTCTCTTTACTTTAAACACAAACATTCAACAAAACAAGCCAAGAGAGAATCCCGCCTTGTTCAAACATCTCTCCCTCCCTCCCCCCCCCCTCCGTGCACCTCTCAGGGCGCCCTGGGCGGTGTCCTCGTGTCCTTGACCTTCCTCCTGTGGATCGGCATCGCCGCCTTCGTGAACGAGCTCAAGACCCCCGCCAGCCCGACCTCTATCGCCGGATGTAACTTCACGGCCAAACCCATCCCTTCAACCACGCCCAAACCGCCGCCCAAAGAGGTTGAGTGAGTTCTGGACAGAGCCTGTGTTTGTCAGGAATTACTGGTGTACCGTTTTGTTCATCGCCTGTGTTTGTCAGGAATTACTGGTGTACCGTTTTGTTCATCGCCTGTGTTTGTCAGGAATTACTGGTGTACCGTTTTGTTCATCGCCTGTGTTTGTCAGGAATTACTGGTGTGGCGTTTTGTTCAACGCCTGTGTTTGTCAGGAATTACTGGTGTGGCGTTTTGTTCAACGCCTGTGTTTGTCAGGAATTACTGGTGGAGATTTTTTATCGCCACAACTTGTTCAACGCCCGTGTTCTAGATCTAGACAAGTTGTTCTTAGCTCTGAAAGAAAAATAGAACTTTCAGGATACAGGAAAACAACAACAACAACAACAACAACAACAATAACAACAACAATAACAACAATCAAAACTACTGTTTCATTCTTATCAAAATTGAACCTACATTATGCTTATTTCCCTGTTCTTTCAGCGTTTAGAATTTGTATTACAACAAAATGTTTCTCAAGCACATACAAGCGATATCACGTTTTCAGAAACTGCATTCAAATTTTCTATAATTCTAAACGTTAGACTTAGCATATCTGAAGATCAACACAACGTACATGGTGGTACTTCCGTTTTTTCGTTGGTCAACATGAATTTGTCAAGTTTTCAAACCCAGATTTACAACTTTGAACCATAGCTAGATGTCAGGTGAAAAAAGTATCTGCGTGTAAGAATGTGATGGATGCATGTCTGTGTTGATGCCGACTCTCGAAATCTCTATGTTGATGTTCTGTATATACCCCCCCCCCCTCAATCCCACGAAGATTTAATAAAAGTTTTTAAAAAAAGAGTTTAAGGCGTTTACCATAACGTATCATAATGTATTTTACGTGTTCACCAGCTGTATTTTACATCGTTTTCAGCGATCCTTTCGAAGATTTGTACCGCATGAGCTACATGTACTACACCGCTCTGGGCATGATTCTGGTCTGGGGCATCGGTCTGCCCATCAGCTTTATCACAGGTCAGTCACACACTGGTCAGTGGACAGTCACACACTGGTCAGTGGTCAGTCACACACTACACATTGGTCTTTGGTTCGTCACACACTGGACATTGGTCAGTCACACACTGGACATTGGTCAGTCACACACTGGACATTGTCTGGGCAGCAACAGAAATCGGTCTGAGACTCATCGAATGCTTTTCTTTGTTGGTTTGTGGAGATGGCGCGCGTACCTGTGATGTATTATCCCAGTTGTTGTTGGAAGGACCAAAGAAGTATATTATGTACACTTGGTATTTTAGAAATTTCATAACTTTATTATTTTAAAATGAGGCCAACGAGGCTTTAGACAGAAACTTAAACTTCGAAAATTGTATTAATTGTTTGCCCTCATAAAAAAAAATCAAATGTCTCAAGGAGCCAAAAGTTGTCAGATAATTCAGTCAGCTCTTGAGCTATACCTAACTAGTCAGGGATTGTGAAGGTCACGCGTGTGTGAGAGTGTGTGTGTGTGTGTGAGAGTGGGGGGGGGGGGGGGGGGGGGGCATGAGGAAACACGACAAGCCGGCTATGTTAACGTTTCAACACTCTCCTTCCTATTGTACTTTTGTTTACAATGATGGCGTCTGTGATGATGGGGGCGAAAGATTGAAACTTTTAAACTTTGAACATTTTGTTTGTTTGTTCAAGGTTTTGTAATTCTAATTTCTCACGACTGTATTTGTACAATTATTGTGTAATGATGATGATGATGATGATGATGATGATGATGATGATGATGATGATGATGATGATGATGATGATGACACTCCCTGTACAGGATACACCCGACCACGTGACCTAGACCCCCGACTCATCTGCCCCCTGGCGGAGAAACTGGTGCCCTGCCTGCCACAGAAGGTCAAAAACTTCTTCCGCTGTGGACTCGTGCACGAGGGGGTAAGTCGAGATAGGGGAAGGTCAAGGGGGGGG